CTTCTCACCCAGCCACCCCACTCTTTTATGTGGCCTGTTAAAGTCAGGCCTGCTCCTAATCTTTGATAATTGGCCCAGCTGCAACTCCTATGGGGTAAGATTACTCTCTGCACTATCTTTATTTTCTTATATTCTATCCCCCTACACGTCCCTAACACGCCTGTTCTGATGCAGACTCTTTCTGTGCCAACATCTCCTCTCAGCTCTGCCACCAGAGCTTGCAAAAGGCTCTGCTCTGATTTGCTGTAAAAGACCAAAAAGGGTTTAAAAACCACTCCAGTTCTGTTTTTTAAACAAGCAGCAGCTCTGAATGCATTGGCAACCCAACTCTTCCCCTGGCTCTCTGGCAGTCCTCACCCTGCAGAGGGGTTTGCTCCATGAAACTTCCTCCAAACATTAAACACAACCAATAGCAAAGAACATAAAGTCCAAATGGCCAAATCCCACCTGCCAAAGAGCCTAACTATGATGTAAGGAACAGGGTAAGGTGGGGCTGGCAGGGGTTCTCACCAAGCACCAGGCCATGAGTCCTGACAGAGGGGCCCCACATCTCTGCAATAAATGTAATATTCACCATGAAACACCCACCCAGACAGCTGCCCTGTAAGTGTGCCTGGAGGTGCTACACAAGCACTGCTGAGGTGAATGGAAATAAAACCCATAAAGCAGTGGTAGATAATTTTTGAAGATTGTTGATGGTGGTTAAAAATGAGTTTCATAATCACTTGGGAGAGTTATGGCAGGGAACAGCACAGAACTTTGATCACGTCTTTAAAAATAAATAATCTGAATTGGTTAAATAAAATCTGGGCATGAGAAGACAATTTACTGACTGTGAATTGCTAAAAGCTGGGGGATTAGTCAAAGATAACTCTCATTTACCAAATGTGTTTAACAGAAGCACTTGCAGAAGACTGGTATGTGATACATTAATTGTGTATTTTAGTTTGAAAATTGAATATGGAGATGTTATTGAGAAATAAGCACAGCCCACAATAGGAACTGCCAGCTCTTCCAAGCAAAACTAAAATAGGTTCTCCCTTCTGTTATTCAAACAGTTGTTTGCAACATGAACCAGTGAACAACCTGAGCTTTTCTCAAGGTTTTTTCTTCTGAAGTCCAAAGCAGGGAAGTAAATCTCAGCTCTCTCCTGGGCCAGACCCAAGGTAGGCAGCAGCTCCAGATGTCAGGAATATCTGTCCTTACAATTTTCCTGCTACTCCCTTCCTCTGCCAGGACTCCATTGTGGCCACAGCACAGGGAAGCACCAAGCAGCAGGAGCAGAGCTGGAGGCAGCACATGCAGAACACGAGTTCATATTGCACTTGCTCACAGGAAAGCAATACCCAGACTATAACACAACCAGGAACCAGAATAAAATAGATATTAAAGTAACACAGATGACATGTCCTCCTGCTCTGCTCACATATAAGAACAGCAGGAAAAGGAACAACTGGCACATGCAATCAGAAATCCAGCTCCTTGCGAACTGCAGGGCTGTGTGTTCACAGGGGTTTTCAGACTGGGGAAGAGACAAGGATCTGACTCCTTGTTTCAGAAGGCTTGATTTATTATTTTATGATATATATTATAATAAAACTATACCAAAAGAATAGAAGAAAAGATTTCATCAGAAGGCTAGCTAAGAATAGAATAGCAAAGAATGATAACAAAGCTTTGTGGCTTGGACAGAGAGTCCAAGCCAGCTGACTGTGATTGGCCATTAATTAGAAACATCCAACATGGGCCAATCACAGATCCACCTGTTGCATTTCACAGCAGCAGATAATCAATGTTCGCATTTTGTTCCTGAGGCCTCTCAGCTTGTCAGGAGGAAAAATCCTAAGGAAAGGATTTTCCATAAAAGATGTCTGCGAGACAGGGCTGGAAGCTGAAGTGGCTGAGCACTTCATTCAGGTGACAGACAGCCCCTCTTAGTCTTCATCAGCAGATATCCAGAGAGCTAACTCACAGACATAAAGCAAATCTACTTAGGGAATAAATGTCTAAATAAATATGAGAGATGGGATGCTGATCTGTTAATGTTCCTCTGCCGGGTAAATAAAATTATGGGTTTTTTCACTTCAATTCATTTATGCTATTTGTTTATTACTGCATGATGAAAAGGCTCAGCATGCCTTTTCCTCTGTGAACATCACCATGCCTTGGGCAGGTCTAAAGTGGTGGGACTTGTAGGATTTCTCTGCTCCATGCCACTATCAGAACAGCTCAAGTTCTTCTCCCTAGTTTAGATCTGGGAAATTATTTACAGTCACATACATGTGCCAGTGCAAACTTTACACATTTTTCCTAGAGCTGTCTAAAAGCCACCTGAGGTACCAAATGCTTTGCAGGTGACACACAATGTTCTGTTTCCTGTCACATTTACTGACCCACACAGGTGAGAATATCACTGCTGAATTTTGGATTTTTTCACACATTCATTAGCCAGATAAGCTGCAATCTTTTCAAAATTCTAAGGGAGTAGTCACTTAAAGAGAAAGAAGAAAAGTCCACCAAGCATCAAATCTGCTTTACACCTATGTCCCTAACCACCTCTTCAGAACTAGGCAATGAACTCGATGAGGAAATGAAGAAAAAATGAAGCAACAATGAAGCCTACAGCTTACCAGGCCTTCCCTCTGTCCTGGAGTTGCCCAGCTAAGCTGAACACTGCAGAGAGGACAGGTGGGCACACAGATAACCCAGCATCTACCTGAAGTGTTTTTGGTGGAGGAAGAGGGCAATTCCTGCACCAGAGACCAAAACACTGGAGCAGGCTGAAGGAGCGTGATGTTGCATGGAGAGTTCACTGCATTTAAGTCTGAGAGAGACAAACACCCTTTCTCTTGGTTATGTCCCATCTGCCACCTTCATTTGGCCATTAAAACCATTTTTAATATGATAAAAGGAGTAATACTGCCTGACTAATGAATGTCGAATTATCGGCGTAAATGTGCCAACATTTATTTATTTATTTGCCTCGCCGAGAACATGTTCTCTTCTGTTTGGTTTTCTTCTTTAATGACTACAATTTATCATACTAACTAGGCCTTCCACTTTGCTGAGTTTTGTTTCAAGTTCTGCTTTTTTGCTGAGACATCTGTGAGGGAGCAGATGCAGGTAAAAGAAGTAATAAAACTAATAAAAAAGCAATAGTAGCTGTCACCCAAAAAGCACAGGTGACCAAACCACCTTCATTTACTGAACAGGGCCTCTCCTTCTTGATTTCATTTGATGATTTTACTGCCTTCTTTCCACCAATATTTCACACTGCTTACGGCAGCCCTTTGTGAGGAACACCAATTCCTGATTTTCAAGTAATTTGCTTTCCCCAGTCCCAGCAGGAGGAAGGAAAGCTGAGGCGGAAGGAGTGCCTGCCATGAATTTGAACCAGCAGGCATCTGAAACTGCAGAGATGCCCCAGTCAGAGCAGGGATCCTGCCCTCACAGAGGAGGATCTGCCACCTGTCCAACGCTGCTTCAGCTGCACCAAGGCTGGATCTATTTCAGAGCAAAGGCATATGTGCTTTCCCCACCTGTCACAACTGTGAAATGAATGGACAGCATCCACTTCCGAGGCACTTGGCACTCAAATTAACAGGCAACCTGTTAGTCTGGGTGCAATTAGCACCCCAAACTTTACTCCAGCCATCTCTGGTGGCTGACTTTTGCTCACAGATCTTTCAGCAGCCTGGTGTACACGTTGAGTAAATATACACCAATGGATGGGGTGGCAAGGGTGTGTAACCCCCAAAAAATTCAACGTGAATTTTGGCTGAATTCACGCTGCTTGGCTTTGCCTTTGCTAGGAACTGTGGTGGAAAGTTTTCAGTTTCACAGTTTGACAGACTGGAATTCAGCACTCAGCTCACCCAGGACCCAGCACAGGGAACGAGCGAGTGTAACCCAAGCAGCTGGGGCTGCCTCCCACTGCCTCTTCCTGTGCCAGATTTAAACTCCAGCTCTCCTGCCACGGGAACGTGCCACTGACACACAGACACGCATCCTGCAGCATGACAGCAGCATTTTTAAGAGGCTCAGGAGAGCAATATGAGCAGTGTAAACCCTTATCTGTGTCATGGAGAGTACAATCACAGCACAGACTGCAACCACACTGGCACAAACTGCTTTTTCTACCCTGGCCTTCAGCCCTACCTTCCATATTACAGCCACATCACCTGCAGCATCCTCAGATGCCCACCTAGATCACTCCTTTAGTGGGATATTTCTTTAAACACAAAGAATGTGAAATACCAAATAATGATGGGCTTAAGTTTTTTTAACTCAATATTCACCTTTCCCTCCTGTGGTTGCCAGCAGGCCAACAGGGTATCAGCAAACCATGCTAAAATATTCTTTCAAAATTCCAAAATTTGATGCAAAGAGGACTGAGGGAATGCACAGCCAAGGTTCCCCAAAAGCAGTACAGCCTTCATTTATCACAAACTTCCCCTGGATGCTGGAGATTGTTACGCTCATAGCTCCAGTCTTGTTCCTGTTCAATGCCAATGTTCTTGTTCAATGTTCATTCAGCCATCACTTTTTCCTTTCTCTTAAATGCTCCACAAACATTTCCCAGAGTCCTTCCCTTGCTTAGTCCATAAATCAGTGCATATCTAGCATTTTATTAGGATTAGCTTCCCCAGTCCTCCAGTGCTTATCTGCATGCTTCTCTGACCTTCCCAAACGCCACCTAAACTGCCCTGGGGCAACACAAAGTGAGAGAGCTTCGAGATGTCACCTTCCAGTGGCACAGTTTTCTCCCCCACACCCTGGATCAATCTAAGTGACTCACACTCAGAGCACCTGTCACAGCAACGACATTGCTCTTCTTGTCTGCACATCCCTGGCATTTTATCATCCTCTTCCATCACAGCAGAGCTGGTGGCAGAGAAACCTGGCGTTTTCCAGCCCAGCACCTATGGCTGCTCCCCCCAAAAAGAAGCAGAGGGAAGGAGGGAGGAAGGGGGAGGGAAGGAGGAGAGCAGGCTGCTTACCCTCAGGAAGGAGAGGTCCCTGTTGTGCTCGATGCTGGTGATCTCCAGGTTGCCCATCACCACCTCACAGTTCTCATAGTACTTGCGCAGGGCCCGGTACTGCTGCTCCAGGTCAGACAGGGAGCTCAGCTTGTTCTCAGTGCCAGCACACACTGCAAAGAAACACAGCACGATCCATCAGGCCACTGTGGAACAGGGGCACTGGAGCACAGTAAAGTCTGTAGAAACTGATACAGGGAGTTGCAACAAAAATCTGTAATGATTCACTTGAATATCAGCAGTGGAAATAGGAACGTGGAAATGCAGCCTGTGATCATCTCTGCAATTTAAACATCAAATGAGCTGAAGTGCTGGTATTTACCACCAACTGCTGAAAGGCTGAAAAAAGGCAGAAATGCAGAAAAAAGGCCATGCAGGTTGACCCCAGCAGCCAAAGGCTCAAACTCAGGTTTCAGCAAAGCCCCACCAGTTCCACCAGTGGCAGAATCAGACACTGGGCAGAGCCAGCCCCATCATGGGCTGAAGGACACAAGGCTGGAGAGACCTGTGCATCCAAGCTGACCTGGATAATTCAACATTTTCCCTATTCTGAATAGAATTTTGGACAAGCCAAGTGCAACCCAGGCAGAAGACTTACACCCAACCTTGTTTTCCCCATCACTTTCCTTAAGACCCCAGCTCTTCCCAGCTTTAAGCAATCAAATAGAAGAAAAACAACAGCAAAAAACGCATTGTCTCTCCACAAGTCCCCAGGCTGAATGCACAGCGAAGAAATGTCAGGAAACACCATCTTAGTACAGTTTTCAAAGAACACTCTTTAATATTACACTGCTCTCTATTACACATTTTGAAGCCCAGCTAAAAGCCAGCACAGAACCCCAGCTCAGCTCAAGGTATCAGCCTGCTGCCATCATGCAATGACAAAAAAAAAAAAAAAAAAAAAAAAAAAGAGGGAAATAAATCCAGAAGCAGCATTTTACATGATCACCTTTTCACACACTGCTCAGACAGGAATGCTGCTTAAATGGTCAAGTTTATGGGCTGGTTTTGGTTTGTGTGTTTTAATGTACTTTCTTTTCCTCTTATTCAGCAGCTTGTGGGTCGTTCTTATCTGTGAGCAAATTAATCTGGGTGTATCTAAACTTTTGAAATGGCCATTATATTATGTAAAACAGGAGCCTGACAAGAATGGCATTTCTGGAGCCAACCCCACTTCTGGATCAGATCAATACAAACAAAACTCTCCATGACTGGAGGCATAATCAGTAAAATTGGCTAATACACACTATTTTGAAAGATGCAGGTCCTTTTTATAAACACCAAAAGTAATTAGGTTGCAGAGTACTACAATTATTGACTGTTTATTTACTATACCTCCTTCCCCCCCCCTTTTTTTTTCTCACTAGAAGTGGGAACAATTCTAATCTGTGCTCTCTCTGCTGCAGAATTATTTGCTCTTGTTCTGGGGCAATTTGAGCTTCCAGAAGCCTCTTGGCAAAGGGCTTCAGGAGGCAGCCAGAAGCCCATGACCTGCTCAAGGTTTTCTCCCAAGGAATCTCCCTCTGCCCCAAAAATGGCAGCAGAAATCTGTTCCTGTTCCATTACAAACCATGCACAGGGTGAAGGGTTGACCAGATCACTTTTGGGTTGTGTTTCCAGGGGCCAAAGAGCACGGACCAAAGCTGAACAGGCACTGCAAGGGCTGCTCCTCTGAACAGGCATTGGGTCTACCCACCACAGGAAATGCTGGAATATTATTTATTTCTATGAGTTGGTAAAAGTAAAATTTCAAAGTTCTCGCTGCAGTTAAAAATTTGAAATATTTGACCTATGTTCATTATACTGTGTTGAAGGAAAGCAGAACTACTTGCTTTGCTCAGGTTTTAAAACAAGTTATCACCTCATTTTGAGGCTTAACTTAAAAGCATGAACATTCCAATTTTTAGATTTTCTGTAAAATCTTTCCACTTAGAGTAAATCATACCTAAACACGATTTCATTCATAATATTTTTAACAGCTATTTTGGGAAAGACATGGTCATACTGGGACCTCACTTATCTCTGGTGGACTGGGAACACTGGAAGGATTAAGCACTGCAACTGGGAGATGGCACATCTTTATTTTTGAAATACAAAGCCCTGTCCTGCAGTTTTATTCAGAAAAGACTCAAGACCTGCCCTTGTGTGCCAACTCTTCTGGGAGACACATCCCCTGCCAGAGCACCTAAAAATTCTTGCTTAGCACTTACAAAATGGGTTTGTGTGTTCCTTCCTTAAATACAGCAGTATCCATTACAGGACTGATCATATTTCCAGCCAGGTAAGTATTATTCTGTCTCAAGGCTCCCAAGGACTAATAAATACCTTCCCTTCCATTCTGCAATCCGTGCTAAGGACCAACACAGCTCAGAAAACAATTCCTGCAGCTCAGCTAATAAAGCCATGCACTGCAACACTGATATTCCATGTTGCACACCCATTAAACGTTTCCTGAAAGCTAATGCAGCCATTTGTTTGCTGAGAGGAGGCAGGAACACCTGGAGCCTGTTCTTGCAAGAGGATTCAGCAGGGGTGAAGCCAGCCCACATGTGAATGGACCAGGGCAAGGAGGTTTATCTGACTGAGGTTAATTTTGTACAGCCAAACCACTGCAGTAACTTCTCCCAGTTTTTGATACGGCTAGTCAATCAATTCTTTTGGATTTAAAAAAAATACAAAAACCCTTTAAAGCTAATTTAGAATAAATCATGCTGATCCTTTAAATTTACCTCATAGCACTTAATGTCTGTCTTAAAAAGAGAAGTTTCCTTCCACAAAAAATTGGTCACAGATTGCCTCAAATCAAGTCACACACCAAAAGTGATTATCCTACATCAATTGAAGGGAGCAGAATTCACTTTTTTTTTCCCTTTGGTACCTAACCAGCAGTGCAAGCTGATGCAGAAACAGCTCAGAGCAGGGGAGAGCTCTGACCTGCACAACGAGCTGAAGTCACAAAGCAAATGTGGGTATAATCATGGATCATTAATAATCCATTATTACAGTAAGTCATTAATCTCTCTGTCTCAGCTTTGCAATGTATGCTTTTGATGCACCTAATAATTATGTCACATTCAAAACACAAAAGAGGAAACTCTGCCAGTATTTAAGAAAAGCAGGTTAGGTCCTTCACTTGCAGGAGGAAGGGCTGGGACAGCACCTCCCAGAGAATCCTTCAAAACAGAGAGATGAGAGATGCTCTCGGCAGGTTTTTCAAGGCAAATAACCACCAAAGGGGTAAAAAGGCATTCTTGCCATGAGAGAGAGATGCTGCTGCCAGGGACAATCCCAAAGGGGCTCCTGTTGGTGCCAGGGAGCCAAACCTGGGAGGGACACAAGCCAGAAAGCAGGCTGTGAACTCCTACATTAAAAGTTTAATGCCCCATTTTGAGCCATATGAGACAACTCCCAGCCTTTCCAGGGCAGAAATAATTGTTCTGGGTCTGATTTGCCAAGCTAAAAAGCACTAAAGTAACTGTGTGTGAAGTGGGAGCTGAGCAGGAGCCATCAAGATTCCCAGTCCCTCTGTCCCTGAGCTCAACAAGAGCAGGAACATATCCCACTCACCTCCTGCTTCTCTCCTGGAACAGCAACAGGCATCTATGTGTTGTAGCAGCTCTTTAAAATTAGGTGCTAAAATGATATGTAATTTACAGGAATGTTCCAGCTGTATACAGGCATAAACACAAGCACAACAAAATTTCCTTGTCACACCATGCAAAACCACCATAATCTGTATTTCATGAACCCTCTTCAAAGCACTTTGTTGTATATTGTTAGATGTTTTGTCTTACAGAGCCCCAGAAATGGATGAGCAGCAAAAAAAAAAAAAAAAAATCAAGATTGTGTGTTTTAGCTGTTCTTGCAGCAGAACCTGTGCTGGTTAATAAAAAATATTCATCCTCTGTCTTTAAGACAGGGCAAAGAGGAGCAGCTTTAGATGTGCCTCTAGTGTGAACTGCTCTCATTATTGAGCATCTCTGGCCATGTACTCTCTGCCTCGCTCAGGGGAGGCATCTCCATAAGGGAAACCCTCCAGTGCACACCCAGGAAAATCAGATTTCCCCTATGTTTTGCCCAAGTCTGACCTGATTTACTGACACCCCACCAAGCCCTCAAACCCATCTCTCCACCTAAATTATTATTATCTACCTAAAGGTGTTCAGCCATTCCTGCACTTTCCACACACTGACAAGAAACCTCACAGAGTGCTCATGTGCAGAGTCACCCCCTAAGGTTATCCCAAATCTCCAGGACATGCCTCTTCCACCTGGGAAATCCCAAACCAGCAGTGATGGCACCAGGCAGTGGCCACTTCTCACCTGCACCCCAGCCATGGGGGATTTTGGGTGGGTGCTGGAGCAGAGCACTGCTTGGTCACCACAAAAGTGAATTTCAAGCGTGGCTCACACATTCACACTTCACAGCCAGTTGTTTACTTATCACCAGCTACCTGAAGTGACAGAGTTTCAGCTCCTAATGGCCCCAATTACAACAGTAATAATCGTCTGTATTGAAATGATGTTTTCCATCAATATTCATGCATGTGACTTGGAAATTAATTTTCCATTGACATTTTTTTCATAAAATAGCCAAATCATTCAAATGCTCACTTAAGGGTGGCAAATAATGGAGACATTTAAAAATGTCCATTATTCTGCTTTTTAGCCCATTATTTTGCTCTGCTCTGCTGATGATAAATCTATATGTTAAATTAAGAAATCACACTTGCCTCCATCTCGTTCTGCTCCTTCTCATACTAATGGATTTTATAATCCTCCCAGATTAGCTTTTGGAAGGAGATCATTTCTTATTCAGCCCCTTTCCAGATCAGCCTACATCTGGAGTACTAAGAAGAGTGGAATCCATTATCTCCACCATGGTCACTCCCACCTGAAATCCTGGTGTTGTCTCACTCCTCTCCCAAAGCACACTCACAGAAGCAGTGATGAGGCATCCTCTCCTCTAACTCCAAGGGAGTTATCTCAAGCATCTGAATATATTTTCCCCTGAATCATAAAACATTTATTATCATCTCTTTGGCAAGGATGCAGGAGAGCAGTGCCTTTGCCCTGCACCAGCCTCTGCCTGGAGGCAGCACAATCTCCCTTTG